TTGACAAGCGTTGTGAGTTTTTTTTTTTTTTTTTTCCATGAATGTATTTCAGGAACATAGTTCCACTAGCAACCGAGTAAGGTATATTGTCCTATAGCAACACCTGTGGGACATCCACCAACTGTTGATGCATCCAAATCCAATGCAGCAAAATCAAGATGTTTGTATCTTTAAAAGTTGTTGTTGTTGTTTTTTTTTTTTTTTTTTTTTTTTTTTTTTTTTTTTTCCCCCTATGAATGACAGGATGTGGGGAAGAGAAATAGCAAGTTTTTTTTTGATTGGCGGCTATCGGGGAAAAAAAAAAAAAATCAAGTACTTAAAGTTTTTGGTATTGATCCTGCTTTTTTCTTCCGGTCAATAGCAAGCTCGTCAAGTACTTCATTTTTGCTCGTTTATAGAATGATCCGATCACTAACCAGTTTCGTCGGGCACACTAACGGACTCCTCACAACAACCGTTGTATTGCCCATGACCCAAGACGGCCAAACATCCAAGATGATTGGATGACTTGCCTAAGGACGAGATCCCACTGGCAAAAACAATTGGAATACGTGTTTGAACCTGCTCGTGGAAAACGTTCAGATTCAAACATATTCCAATTTTTTTTGCTAGGGGGATCTAACCCTAAGTCTGCACGAGTTATTGCAGAATCGGGGCTAAGCAATTGAATGAACCTACACACAAACACGTTCAGATTCAGGCATTTTTCCAAGGCGCACTGTAACACTGAATCTACTTTGTCTTCTTTGGCCGTGGGCGAGGTGGGGAGCCGGGCGAGGAGAGGAAAAATCCGAAAGGGTGAGAGGGGGAGGAACTCATCTTCCTAAAAGCAGGGGCGACTACCAAGCATCCAAGAGGATGGATGATTCACATGAATCTGAACGTGTTTTTGTACAGATGCATACATGCAATTGAATGAGTTTCCGCACAAACGCTTTCGCACAAACATTTTTACCTTACTCAGTTGCTAGTGTAACCGTGCTCAGGGTCAGCTGCATTCGCACAATGTTCGTGAATGCGCTGCGAATTTGTGCCTCGGTCTCTGTGTGTGATGAGAGAGAGAGAGAGAGAGAGAGAGAGAGAGAGAGAGAGAGAGAGAGAGAGAGAGAGAGAGAGATGGATGTTGACGGTCTCCGAGCTCATGTGAAGCGGCCGCAGACACTCGCAGTTAACGACCAACTAAAATTTCAGAATGAAACATTCTGAAGTGGTCTGAAACCGCTGAAATGGCCTGAAGACACTTCAGGTCATTTCAAAAGTTTTGGGTGGTTTGCAGGATAAGTTTTATGTTGTTGTTGTTGTTGTTGTTGTTGTTGTTGTTGTTTTTTTTTGCCTGTTTTTTCATCCACTTCAGGTCATTTCAGAAATTTCAGGTGGGGACCTGAAACCGCTGAAGTGGCTACCTGAAACCCCTTTCAGAAGTTTCAACAACTTCAGGTCATTTCAAGAATTTCAGGTGGGGACCTGAAACCGCTGAAGTGGCTGAAGCTTTTGAAAGGGGTTTTAGGTACCCCATCCAAATGGTTGGATGGGGGTACCTGAAACCCCTTTCAGAAACTTCAGCCACTTCAGGTCATTTCAGGAATTTTAGGTAGGGACCTGAAACCGCTGAAGTGGCTGAAGTTTCTGAAAGGGGTTTCAAGTACCCCCATCCAACCATTTGGATGGGTGTACCTGAAATCCCTTTCAGAAGCTTCAACCACTTCAGGTCATTTCAGGAATTTCATGCGGGGATCTGAAACCGCTGAAGTGGCTGAAGCTTCTGAAAGGGGTTTCAGGTACCCCCATCCAAATGCTTGGATAGGGGTACCTGAAACTACTTTCAGAAGCTTCAGCCACTTCAGTTCATTTCAGGAATTTCAGGTGGGGACCTGAAACCGCTGAAGTGGCTGAAGTTTCTGAAATAGGTTTCAGGTACCCCCATCCAACTATTTGCAATGGATCTGTAGGCAATCTGAAAGTGGTGTATCAACCTGAAGTGGCTGAACTGCCTGAAGGCGGTTTTAGACAACCCCATATATAGATCCACACACAATCTGAAAGTGGTGTAGTAACCTAAAGTGGCTGAACTGACTGGAAAGGAGACTTGAAAATATATGCACCCGTTAACCATCTCTCGCCGTAGAGGTGTCTCGCAGCGGCTGCTGTCGATTCTGATGTTAAAGAGGATGACCACCTTTTGCAGTACTTTCAAACGTCAACCTCCTCACCAATTGTTTTTATATTATGTCTTTTAAATTTGTTTATTTCTCTTCTCTGAACCTGTCGCACATGTCACCTGCAGGTCGGGAGCAGCCGCCGCATGTTCTCTCATGAACACGGTTCTGGCTGCTACGGAGTTCCCGTATGCCTACAATTAGTAGTGGTAGGTAGGTAGTGTCACGTGAAATTGAGAGAAGAACATAACTAGTCCATGACTCGTTTGCTAGTGGAACTGTGCTCCAGTTGGTACACCTCTAACAGTTGGACCATTCTCGATTTATGCGTGTCATCCTTGCGCAGGGGCCATACTAATCTTCTCTGTATCGTTCCAATTTTAACGGATGTCCTGAAGGACATTTGAACAGTTGCAATATAAACTCGAAGCTCAAATCGAGATCCAATCAGATGATGATGATATCACAAGACCGTAAAAAAAACAGAGAGAAAAATTTGGCTGTCTTCCTACACATTGGATCTCTGCACTTCGACCCGCTGCAGGTTGGGCCCCAGACTCTTAGCTCCACGATTTGAGGGAGACTGACACAGTCTGAAAAATTTTGGGCCCAGATCCCAGACCAGAGAACAATGCCTAAAAGTGGCAACTACTCAAGCACACGAACTCAAATGGTCTACTAAAGTACTGCGAAGACTCTATAATCAGTCCTACGGAAGACCGGGAAGAGGCCAGGGTGCTGGAAACTCCAAGCAACAAGAAACCGACCTGCAAAATTCTTCTTCTGCAGGTAATCTCACTAAGCATAGAACCACTGTCCTTCGGCTGGAATAACTCTGACCCCCAGTCTGTCAACCCTCACAACAAGGGGCCCACCCCACTAATAAACTATAAACCAAAGATCGAGGTTCGGGCTTTTAGAAATAAGCTAAAAACAATTCCCTTAGGGACGGTCAGGAAGAGACTGGCAGATCAACAGGTTACTCAAATCATGGATGCGGACATGTGTAATCTGTGGAAGACCCTCAAGAAGATGCCCTCCCAAAGGAATGCTGCGATCCTATGGCTCCAGTCACTGCAGGTTACCGCCACAGCGGTCTGGCTTAAATCCAAAGGAATAAAAATATCGGAGACATGTGCGGGCTGCGATTGGGCCTGGGAATCGGCTTCGCATCTATGACTCCATTGCCCCCACTCACAGAGGATTTGGGAATGGTGGAAAGAAAGGTGGAGACTATTGGGTCTCTCAGACAACTTGTGGACATACAATTTCATCCTTCAAGGCATTCATGACGGACCAGACCCGGTATCAAGCGGGGTGAAGTACATGGCGAATATCTACAAAGGCATTATACTAGAAGCCATTTGGTGGAGGAGGAATCAACTTCTCTTCAAGAACGAGAGGAAAAACCTCCAGCATGTCTTCAACAAGATTCTGGCTGAAATCAGAATTACAGTTCAGGCCGACTGGCGCTCCAAAAGTCGTACGTGGTTCACAAAAACCTGGGCTTTCAAGAAGGCCTGTGCCGTGATTTCGGAGGATGGGAAACTTGTACTGACGGACTGGATTCTAAAGGTTCATGCGCCCTAAGCTAGGGAATAATGGCCTTGGTTGTTATCTATAGGAGAATTAGGTTATCAGTTTTTGTTTCCTTTATTACTTTTCTGCATTTGTTAAACCACTAGTACCTTTCCCGCGTGGGAAAATAGGAAAAACTGGCTGTTTTCACAATCGCCTGAATTTTCGGAGGTTGGGCCCGACGACGACTGCCATTGATAAATATGATCGGCGACTGTTGTTTCGTTTCGGCCTCCGAAACGGTCGGAGGCCCACTATATTTAGTACCTTTTTCGCGGGAAAACTGGCTGTTTTCCCAATCGCCTGAATTTTCGGAGGTCGGGCCCGACGACGACTGCCATTGATAAATCTGATCGGCGGCCGTCGTTTCGTTTCGGCCTCCGAAACGGTCGGAGGCCCACCGGAGGCCCGCTATTTTCCAAGCGGCAAAGGTACTAGTGGTCCAGTTGGAATTTTTATTCTAAAAACAGTTGCTTTATGGGATGCTGGACCCGGTTTCCAGCACAAGCCTAAGCTGGGTAGTGGCCCCAGTTTTTCCTCCGGGTTGTCATGTTGAGATTTTCCCGGCCTCTACTCCTTTTTGGAAATAAAGCAATAAAAAAAAATCGGCAGGCTTGACAGGGACGCTCGAGGCCACTTCACCACAGTTTCTTATGGGTGCGAACTATGCCGTCTGTGTATGGAACGCTCGGAGAGAAGACCCGGTCCCAAAATTCCAATCGAAGCTTGGGGCCTTGAGGCGGCGGCAAATCAGACCACTAAGCTGGTGTTCTCGGGGTTCTTTCTGCAGGGCCACGGTGCTCTGCCGCTGGTTTTAGCACCGGCCGTCTCGTGAGCGGATGTTGCCAAGGCCAAGCGGTTCTGTCCTGCTCTGACGCCTTGACGCTCGGGGCTTGCCACGGTAGCCCGAGCCTGCGGCGAAGGTATGGCCCGGCTCGATCAGATCAACACAAGCCCACAGCTCACAGCTCACGGGTGTTTCTGGATCAATCTGGACTGTCGGGTCAGATCCTCCAGTCCACCATCCATCCAGCAGAGCGCACTACCGTCGGCAGAGGCAATAAGCAGCGGCAGTATCGTGGCAGGGGCGAGGGAAATCGACGCCGACGCGGCGTCCCGTCGAGTCGAGAGAGAGCAAAAGACTTGCGAAGCGATGAATTTGCGTCAGGCGGGGAAGGACTAGAAGGTTCATCGATCGATTTGAAGACTTGAATAACTAAGTTTGGGGCCTGTGGTTTGGTTGCGGGAGCCGAGATAGGAGAGGGAGCGAGAGAAGAGACAAAAGGGAGAGAAAAGGCAGAGGAGGCTGGGCAGCGAAGCACCGAAGAGAAGTGCACGCAGCGCATCGCAGCGCAGCGCAGCGCAGCGGAGGCTTCTTCTCTTTCGCCTGCAGTAACGACCCCCCACACCTCCACCCAGACGAAGGGATCACGACGGCTCTTCTGGTCACATCATCGAGGTGCAGGCTGCCCGAATCCAAATCTGTTTACTTCAGCTGACTGTCTCGATTCATCTAGGTTGCCCTTCCCTACTCGGCGTGGGCCTGTTGCACGGTGTCCGCTGTATCTCTATAATACACAGGCTGCCCTTCACGACCATCGGGATCTACGTGCCTCTTCTCTTCGGGCGTGAGGCGTGGTCCGTACTGTCCCCCCTGATTGGGAGTGTGACCGTGGTGAAGGTGGCAGTGACGCGTACCCTGCGGTTAATCTACAAGCAAGTGGGCTGCGACGGTCGGTTCGGCATCCGACAAAAGGACTTCTGCCTTATTCTCTTCGGTTTCGTTGATGACGACTTCCTCTCCTCCCCCTCTGCAAAGCACTCAGCCTCTGCTGATCTGATTCTTAGCTGCCCAAGTCCCCATACTGTGATTCGATATACATTGTGTGTGTGTGTGTGTGTGTGTGTGTGTGTGTGAGAGAGAGAGAGAGAGAGAGAGAGAGAGAGAGAGAGAGAGAGAGGATCGATCTGTTCTCAGGTAGTCTGTTGATTGGCAGAGGTTGGTTGGTTGTGTGTTTGGTCAAGCGGAGTGTGTTTTCTCCTTTGCTCTGTAGGTTTCTCGGTGCTGCCTTTTATTAGGCGGGCTTTCTCCGCCGAGTCTTGGGTATTCTGTAGTGGTAAGTAGGTTTCAGTTTCGTCGAGTTAGGGTTTCGCGAGTCTAGCTGTTCGGGGGGCTTTGAGTGTCGCAAGATGAGTGTAGTGGGGATTGACGTCGGTAATTTGAATTGCACTGTCGCGGTCGCGCGTCACAGAGGGATCGATGTCGTTCTCAATGAGGAATCAAAGAGAGAGACGCCGGCACTTGTCGCCTTCGGCGATCATCAGCGGTTGATTGGCGCGGCGGGAATGTCGAGTCTCTCTATGAATCCGAAGAATACCATCGTTCAGATCAAGCGCATCGTCGGTCGCAATCATGGAGATCCAGAGTTGGAGACAGACTTGAAAACCTTTCCATTCAAAACCATTCCCGGACCGAATGGAGAACCGCTTTTGCAGGTGGTATTCAAGGGGGAGCCTAGGACGTACACACCAGTTCAGGTGTTGGCAATGCTCCTTTCCAACTTGAAGTCCATCGCTGAAACTAATCTGGGCATTCCTGTTCTTGATTGCGTGATTGGCGTGCCGACCTACTTCACTCAGTCGCAGCGGCTTGCCTACCTCGACGCGGCGGCGATCTGTGGCCTCAAGCCGTTGAGATTAATGCATGAGTTGACGGCTGCCGCTCTCTCTTATGGGATTTACAAGACTGATCTCTCCGACACCGAACCGACTAACGTTGCCATAGTGGACGTAGGGCATTCGAGTCTCCAGGTGTGTGTAGTGGCGCTGAAGAAGGGCCAAGTGAAAGTCCTAGCGCAAGGGTTTGATAGAACGATTGGAGGGCGCGATTTCGACGAAGTTCTGTTCGACTACTTCGCTGAGCAGTTCAAGGGGACTTATAAGATCGATGTAAAGACGAATGCACGCGCTGCGCAGAGACTGCGCATTGCCTGCGAGAAGATCAAGAAGATCCTCAGCGCCAATCCTGAAGCGCTGATGTCGATAGAGTGTTTAATGGACGAGAAGGATGTCAAGTGCTTCATCAAGAGAGATCAATTCGAGGCCCTCTGTGAACCCCTTCTGAAGAAGGTGTTGGGTCCGTTGGAGCGGACTATTAAGGACTTCGGTGTGGCCGTTGAGAGCCTTGCAGCTGTGGAACTGATTGGTTCTGGCTCTCGTATCCCTGCAATTGGCAAGATATTAACCAACTTTTTCGGCAGGGAGCCAAGAAGGACAATGAACGCCAGCGAGTGTATTGCTAGAGGATGTGCGCTGCAGTGCGCTATGCTCAGCCCTACTTTCAAAGTGCGGCAATTCGAGGTAAGGAAGCAATCCCTCTTCTTCTTATGCCAATCCTCTCGCACTCCCATTTCTCCACATTCGTTTGTACGACAAATGGAGGTAGGAACTATATACCAAGTGGTGTGGTGTATGTTAGCACCAGTCCGTTGTTTTCCACATTCGTTTCCTCCGGGGATCTGTTTTTATATCGAGGAAATAAAAGATTATTGGTATTTTTGTGTGCGCGAAAATGTGTTATGTGAATGACGGGGTCGTTCTCTAGATGGAACACGAGTTGGCTACCAACCGCGACATTTTGGGAAATCGGCGGGAAGACGCGCATTATGAGAGAGCTATCGGACTGGATTGAAATGTAGGTAGGGTATGTGGAACAGTCACTTCTAGTGGATGGCTAGTTTAGGATGTGCTTCTAGTGGATGGCTAGTTTAGGATGTGCTTCTAGCGGATGGCTAGTTTAGGATGTGCTTCTAGTGGATGGCTAGTTCAGGATCTGCTTCTAGTGGATGGCTAGTTTAGGATGTGCTTCGGACCTGTGGCTCTTCGCAGGGCTTGCGTTTGAGTGTACTTGTTACTTGGGTGTCTTTGTTGTGTAGCGCTTGTTGCAGATTCGCCTTCGTGGCTCTCCGGCGTGCTTTCTGCCCTTCCCACCGTTGTAGCACTCGTTGAAGAATCGCGTTCATTGTTTCCAGCGCGCTTCCTGATCTTCCTCACGGCTGTTGCAGCCCTTCCTTGGTGCCATCCCCCACCGTCGTCTCTGTTATTCTCCGTTATGCTTGCACCCCGTTCTTTTTATTTCTGCTCGCCGCCGTTGGTGGAGTTCTCGCCTCGTTGTCGCTGGCCTCCTCACCCGGCTTCCGCGGGAATCTGCGCGCCCTCCGCTGGGCCCCTCATCCGACCTCCGCGGGGCTCCTCACTCGCCTCCTGCGCCCTCTCGCGCGGCTTCTGCGGGACTCCTCGCTTGTCTTCCGCGGGGCCTCTCGCGCGTCTCCAGGGGACCCCGGTGCTCCCCTTCCGCGAGGCCCCTGACCTATGGGCCCCTCGCCTCTCTTTCGCGCGGGGTTCCCTGCCACTCTTCCGCGGGCCCTCTCTCTACTCTTTCCCATGGCATTTGTGGCTCTCGCGCCCCTTCCTTCTCCGGAGACTGCCCGTCCTTACCCGGGGATTGTCATTGCTCATTCGTAGGTCTCCTCACTTCCCTGCCCCGGGGCTCGTTCCCTCTCCGGGGT